TTAGGAAGAATTCCAATTATGTTTGCCTTCAGTGCAATGTTAGACCTTTATTAGTATATTCTTGGGTAGACATGTGCTCGTACACATGCATATATAAATAGGTGACCTTCCAGAGTCCAAATGACACAGCACTGTGTATGAATTTGGCACTTAATAATGCTTGTTGAATTATAATGAATGTCAAAAGGCATAGGCTTTTGTATAGCTATGCTAATAAGACTTTAGCTGGTCTTGTTTTGGTGTTGCAGGTAAATTGAAAAGAATCCACTGCCTCATGAACACTTTTACCAGTCCATTAAGTGCTTCTTGCTGCAACTATTTAACTACTAGGCTTATTGTAGATAGCAAATGTATCATATTATTATACATTATATGTAGACTTCCTCTCAAGCTTGGGTGCCCACAAATAGTCAAAGGTAACAGTAACAAGTGACAGATTAATAGGCTACTGTTTGATTTCTTTTAGGAAATGAACCAGAGTCAGAGACAGGATGACAGAGGGGTGGAGGTATTACCTGCTAATCCATTACTAGAAGAGTTTGAATTGATTTGATGGCCTCTTTATGGAGATAGTAGACCTTCTGCTTTATAATGTTGTTCAGTCATTTCTAGTTGCTTCTGATTCGTCGTGCCCCATTTGGGGTTTTCTTGGCAAAGACACTGGAGTGATTTGCCATTTCCTTCTCCAGGTCATTTTACAGATGAGGAAACTGAGGCAAACAGGGTTAAATCACTAGCCCAGGGTCATACAGCTAGTAAGTGTCTGAGGCCAGATATGAACTCAGGAAGAGGGGTCTTTTTGACTCCAAGACCGTCACGCTATCTACTGTGCCACCTAGATGCTTTCTGCTTTATAGGATTTCATAAATTTAGGTGGTTCTCAATATTTTTGTATACTCTTTAAAAACATCCTCTGAAGTGACCTCAAGGGCTTACTGAGATGTCTCTGTCCCTCTCTGTTGTTAGTGCTCTAATGATCTTGTATCTACTTTGTGTGGAATTTGTATTTACTTATCTCTGTACACGTGGTCACCACCCTCCAACCGTAGTAGAATGTAAACTCCTTGAAGGCAGGAACTGTTTCATTTTTGTCTTTGTATCCTCAGCATAGTGTACAGTACCCTGACACATAGTGGATGCTTAGTAAGTGCTTGTTGAATTGAATTATTGCCTAGAACTTTGGCCTATTGCTTAACATATAGGTAGACTAAAAGGCAGAGAACTAAGAGATAACTGTTTTTTATTCCTTTATTCCTCTTCATTCCTTATGTGACAAAAAAGTAAAAGGATTATATACAGGGTGCCCCCAAAGTCTTAGTGCAGTTCTAAGCTCTAGTAGCCTACAAATGCACTAAGATTTTAGGTATACCCTGTAATTTACCTAATGCACAATGTCTGGCCCCCATAGTCTACCAAACTCTTTACTACTTTGCTTCCTGCAACCTCATTTTCAGTAAACTTTGTGTTGATGACAGGAATCAAATTACAGCTCTGAAAGGAAATGCCTTCTGTAAATACAGTGGTGTCTGAATAATAGCTAGGAAGGACTCCAAAAATGCTACTCTTTTTATCCTGGAAAAGATAGGGAAGAGATAGAAGGGTGAGTCATCTTTCTTTGTACAGGAGGCCCGTAAAGCATTCAATCATCATGTTAGGGCCTGGGGGCCCATTACAGCCCCTTGCTATTGTCTAGAACTAAGTCAAACCTATTTCCCAGTTGGATTTATTCTGACCTCTGGTTGAGGGGAAGGCAGGAGGTGCTGCTTAATTTGGAGCACCACAATAGGAAGAACATTGATAAATTGGAGAAAATCTGAATTATGAGAAGGGCACTGAGTCAGTCAGTCAATAAGTCAGTAAGCTTTAAGTGTTACTGTGTGCCAGGCAGGTCAGCTAGGTGGTGAGGTGCCAGAGTGCCAGACCTGGAGTCAAAAAAACTCCTCTCCCTGAGCTCAAATCTAGCCTCAGACACTTCCTAGCTATGTGACCCTGGACAAGTCACTTAACCCTGTTTGCCTCAGTTTCCTCATCTATAAAATGAGCTAGAGAAGGAAATGGCAAACCACTCCGATATCTTTGCCATGAAAACCCCAAATGGGATCGTGAAGAGTTGGACATGACTGAAAATAACTGAACAAGAACAACAATGTGCCAGGTATTGTGCTAAGTGCTAAGGATACCAAAAAGGCAAAAGACAGTCGCTGATCTCTAGGAGGTCATGGTCTAATGGGGGAGATGGTGAGAAAATAACTGCTATTAATCCTTCATTTTGAAGAGCATCAACGACATCATGGGGTGGTGTGTTCAGTCATGAGCAAATTGTATTTAAGTGTGGCAGAGTTGCACAAAGTCAACAGACTCACTGTCTTCTAGAGTCATCTAAGTCCAGTAGTAGGACCAAAGTCAAGGCAACTGGAGATGGCCCAGAATGCAGTGGGTGACCTTGGTGTCTTTGATGTCTGATTAAGCTCTAAGTACTCTGCTGTGTCTATTTCAGCCACCTTCATGGCCATTGGAACAAATTGTTCTCATCTGCCCATTCCACCAGGGGTAATTTTCCCATGCTTGGGGTAGATACCCCCTTAACTCAATGATGGGTTTGTGGCCCATCAGTTACCCTCAGCCTGGTTTAGCCCTTCCACTGAGATGGTTTTACAAGGGTGTAGCCAGTGTGCATGCTAACAGATTCTTGGAGACACAAGTGAAAGTCGGGTGAAGGTGGACATAAAAAGTGGATGAGCCATGAATAAGATATACCCAGGATAAATAAGAGATAAGCAATACAGGAAAGGCACTAAAATTAAGGGAATCAGGAAAGGTTTCTCATAGAAGATGGAATTTTGGCTGGGACTTGAAGGAAGCCAGGGAGTCCAAAATGAGGATCAAATGAAGCAACTGAAGATGTTTAATACAGAAAAGAGAAGACTCAGGGGAGAATATGACAGCTTTGTTCAAGTACTGGAAAGGCAATCGTGCTAGAGAAATATTAAATTTGTTCTGAAGGCAGAACTAGAGGCAATGAACAAAAGTTACAAAGAGGCATACTAAGGCTTGAAGTAAAGGAAAACCTTAGCAATTGCAGCTATCTCAAAGCGGAATAGGTAACCTCAGGAGACTGTGGATTCCACTTCTCTGAAGGTCTTCAATCACAAGCTGGATGGCTACTTGTAAGGTGTGCTGCAATGAGGATACTTTTTTAGTTTGGGGTGTATAGGGTGTTGAGGGAGGACTTGCCAAGCCCTTTGGTGTCCACCTGGCAGTCAACTCTCACCTGATAGTTCCAAGAAGCTGTAGCATGTGCAGCAGCCACAGCCCAGCACATGCCATACCCCAGTAAAACCATCTTGGTGGAAGGGCTAAACCAGATTGAGGGTAACTGATGGGCCACAAACCCATTGGTGAGGTGGGGGTTGTCTACCCCAAGCATATGAAGACTTCCCCTGGTGGAATGGGCAGATGAGAACAATTTGTTCCAAAGGCCATGAAGGTGGCTGAAGTAGGCACTATGGAATGCTTAGAGCTTGGTCAAACATTGAAGACACCAAGGTCATCCGCTGTATCCTGGGCTATCACCAGTTGTTTTGATTCTCATCCTGCCACTGAACTTCAATGACTCTGGAAGAGGGAGTGAGTCTGATGACTTTATACAACTCTGTCTCACATAAAGCCACTTTACTCTTGAGTCAATACATCACTGTTGATGTCACTGGTCCTTTTAGAAGGCCAAGGACAAACAACAATGACAACATCTTTTTGGGGTTACAGGTGGGACTAGATGGCTGTGGCAGTCTCTTCCAAATCCGAAATTCTATGTTTCTGTGAAGAAAATTAAGAAGAGAAAAAAAAAGGAAAGAGAAGGGAGGAAAAGATCAGAGAAAATACAGAGAATAAGGAGAGCAATCCTAATAGCATTGCTAAAGGGCTATGTGAAATTGAGTAAGACACTTAACCTTTTATTTTGCCTCACTTGTCTTCTATGTATAGCAGGAAGAATCCACACTCGAGGCTAGAGTGTGGTGGAGGTATCTGTAAAGTTTTGTTTTGATTTTATTTTTTCAAAGTAGACACTAAATCAGAGGTGTTCTTCATGATGAAATAGCTTGTTTAGTCAATCAACAAGCATTTACTCAGCACTACCTTGTGCCTAGAACTGTGCTAAGTGTTGGGGATACAAAAACAAAAGTGAAATGTTACTGTTCTGAGGGAGCTTCCATTCTATCAGTGCTTAGTCCCTCTCACAGGACATTTGATCTTTTTTTTTTTAAATCCCAACCCAATACTCTTTGGTGCTGAATTCTTCCTGACCCCTGAGACTTGAAACTGGGATATGTGTCCTTCCTGTCTTAACCCTTTATTCTTTCCAGTCATTTGAGAGGTTATAAAAGGGTTCACTGTTGTGGTTTCCCCTCCCCAGTCACTGAGGGTAAGCCAGACTGCCTCCAAAGCCAAAATGACTTCCTGTACCTTTGCTTGCAGACTCAAAGCCTCAAAGGCCATCTGTGCTATCTGTTCCCTGATGCTGTTACAATTCCTAGTCAAAACAGTGTGAGGGTGGAGGTAGAAAGCCTCAGCCCTGGCCTCATTGGCTTTTGTGGCTTTCAACCAACCCCCTGGTGTTATTTTACTGCCATTTTGGTGTTTAATTTGAGGATGTGTGTGGATCAGAAGGAGGGACCTTAACATTTTTTTCTTTGGCCAAATGATTAAATTTGAAGCTTAAAAAAGGATGCTTCTTGTGCCAAACCTGTATCCAATTGGGATCTGTGAGATACACTGAAAAACCCTCCCACGTTTGAGGTCTGTCTCCCCTTAAAGAAGCCCCATGCTCAGTCACCTCTTGACACCCAGTAATTCTGATAGTCATGGGCATCACCTTGCTATCTGTTGAAGAGACCTTGCCAGAAAGACTGTACCCTCGAGTCCCTCTGATGCCCTTTAAAATTACAAGTGTGATCTTTTTTGCTGCTGTGTTAACTATGAGCCTGTTGAATTTCTTTCAGTCTCGAAGGGGCCTGTAAAAGCCACACAACTGAGGCATGGCCGAAGGGGAGATCACAACCTTCACAGCCCTGACCGAAAGATTTAACCTGCCACTGGGTAATTACAAGAAGCCCAAGCTTCTCTACTGTAGCAACGGGGGCCACTTTTTGAGGATCCTTCCTGATGGCAAAGTGGATGGGACAAGGGACAGAAATGATCAGCACAGTAAGCACTTCTATAATATACTCTCTTATAGTTCTCCTTCCCCTCATATTTTCCCCGAGATTTTCACCAAAAGGCTGAATGAAAGAAGGGTTTGACTTTCTTTTTCTGTCAGTTCCATTTTTTTCTTTCCCTTTATTCACTTTCCTTATAGAATTAAGATGATTGGATTATAGACTGAGAGGCTGAAGGGACATTAGAGACCATTTAGTCCAACCCCTTTATTTATTGATGAGGAAACAAAGGCCCAGAGAGATCGTGGCTCACTCAAGGTCATACAGCTCATATGTAGCAGAGTTGGGATTAGAACCCAAATCTTCTGACTTCAAATCCAGTGTTCTTTGCCCTTGGACCAAGCTCATATTCAATGTTTTAATGGAAACCTGACATTGAACATGCATACTTACTGAGTAACTATTTTCATTTAAATTAAATGATTTCAAAACTAAGTATCATAAGATTTGTTTTAGTCCATCTTACTAAGTTTCTCTCAGGCTTCTTTGTCCTTTTATTCTCATTCACATTTCCTCATGTGATTCTGGTTAGTGAAGATATTATTCTTCATGTAGTTATAAAAAAAAATACTGGAAGCAACCTAAAATAACATCCAAAATGTCCAATACTGGGGAAATGGTTACATGAACTGTGGCACATTAATGTAATAGATTGTAATGTAATTATAACCAATAAGTATAAGAAACACAGAGAAATCTGGAAAGACTTTTATGGAAATTATGTAAAACTTGACATTCTTTTCTAGTTGAGAAGGTAGAGAATCCAGGCCAGAGCGGAATGTCTCCCTAGCTCAATGCCTTGTCCCAAGGTTCTGTAACTAATGAAGGATCCAACCTTAGATTCCAGCCCAGATTCTACTACTGTAACATGAGAAGCCAGATGGGACAGGGAAGGTAACTCCTGTGTGCATACACAGGCTTCATTTCAAGGAAGTATGGTTGTCCAGGCTATACTTACACTGGGTTTGATTTGTGAAATCCCAGTTTATAACCCTAGCCTTACACATAATAAATTACACAGCTTTGCTTCTACGCATCATGCAGATGTGGTTGTGGTCACCAAGAGCGTTAAAGTACTTCTCCAGACCTGTAGTAACTGGAGAACAGTAACAATTCCCGCCAATTCCCTGTAATAGTTCTGCCAGGAACTTGCCCCCAATTTCCATCTCTTAGACAGTATTGATAAATCTCTGCATATCTATCTGTCTATCTATCTATCATCTATCTATCTATCTATCTATCTATCTATCTATCTATCTATCTATCTATCTATCTGTCTATCTTTTTTATTGTTTAGTTGTTCAGTCATGTCCAACTCTTTGTGACCCTGTGGACCATATCATATCAGTACTGTCTATGGGGTTTTCTTAGCTAAGATACTGGAATGGTTAGCCATTTCCTTTTCCAAAGGCAAACAGAGGTTAAGCGACTTTCCCAGGGTCACACAGGTAGTAAGTATCTGAGGCCGGATTTAAACTCAGGTCTTCCTAACTCCAGCCCCAGTGCTCTATTCACTGAACCATCTAACTGCCTCTCTCTCTCTCTCTCTCTCTTCTCTCTTCACTCTCTCTCTTCTCTCTCTCTTTCTCCTCTCTCTCTCTCTCCACATATGTGTGTGTGCATGTATGTGTGTGTACATGTAAACATTCCTTCTATTGACTCGTATGGTTGACATTAGATATTCATGTCTAAGTGTGATAAATAATGGTCTCTATTCATGGCTCACTTTTAGTAGCAGCATGGTATAAGGAATAGAGCTCTGAAGTTTGGGTCTGGAAGATTTGGGTTCAGAATACCCCCCACCTCAAATTTTGCCTCTGATACTTTCTATATGACTATGGCCAAGTCCCTTAACATGTTTGAGCCTTAGACAACCTGGCAAGAGTTATATGCTAATATATAGGCAGAATGGCAGTCTTCCTTGGTGCATATATAAGGAACTTTCCATGTTAATGAAATCACAGATACTTGCTGTATTGACATAATATATAATTACAGAAGGAGCAGTTGGATGGTGCAATGGATAGAGTGCCTGACCTGAAGTCAGGAAGGCTCATCTCTCTGAGTTCAAATATGACTTCAGACACTAATTAGCTATGTGATCCTGAGCAAGTCACTTACTTCTGTTTGCCTCAGTTTCCTCATCTGTAAAATGAGCTGGAGAAGGAAATGGCAAACTACTCCAGTGTCATTGCCAAGAAAGCCCCAAATAGAGTCACAAAGCATTGGACACAACTTAAATGTCTGAATGACAAAGGGTAGGTATAGAAGCTAGAATTAGAGCTTGTCCCTTCTTAAAGAGGTTATTATCTAAATAATATAAGCTTGCCAAGGGGAAGAAATAAATACAGAAAAACAGAAGTGGGTGGAAAATATAGCTAGACAGAAGGTGAGTAAAGAGTGACTTTTTGAAGGAATTCAATCTAGCATCAAAGCTGGGGTGGCTTTAATCACGCAAGGAATATGTATAGAAGGGTTCATAGTAACCACACTAATAGAAAGAAATATACTTCAGAAATGGCATACCTCCATGGTGCCTGTATTCTTATGGCACTTGATCAATCATAAAGTTCCATGCAACTGACTGGGGAGATAGGGATGGAGGCTGGCTCTTAAGACTTTAATCTGATACATTGCCTCACCTCATTCCACCTCTTCCCCCCAATGCTAATTCTTGGATAGGGGTAGAAGAGAGGGGTAGAAGCCAGAGTAGGCAACTTTGGAGATAAGTAAATGTTTGGTTTGGTTCTGAAGACTATCTTTACCATGCATTTCTTATTCATGTGACCAAAAAGGCAAAAAAAAAGTTATATTGGATCAAGGTAGTATGGTACAGTATAAGGTGCATGTGGTTTGAATTCAGAGGACCAGGGTTCAGATTCTGATTCTGCCCCTTATTATCTATATGACTTTGGGTAAGTCACTTAAACTTCTCTAGGCCTCAGTTTCCTCATATGTAAAATGAAGGGGTTGGATTCAATGTTCTCTACGGTCCCTTCTAGCTCTATATATTATCCTATAATGCTGTGATCTGGGTTCCAATTCTGCAACTGCTACCTACAACTTGTGTGATCTGGGGAAAGTCTCAACCTCTCTGGGCCTCATTTTCCTTACCTGTAAAATGAGGGGATAGGACTAGATGATGCTCAGGATTGCCAGGATCTATATTGACTCATGGTCCTTGTTCTACAAGAGCAGCATTGGAAAAGGAGGAAAGAATAGGGACCCTGTGCTTGTCTACATAAAAGGCCTACCTCCTCCTGAATTAGGGAATAGCTGGTCCTCAGGAACAGGCGAAAATAATTCAATTCAATTAAACAAAACATAACTAAGGACCTTCTGTGTATAAGGCCTTATGCTAAGCACTATGGATACAAAGACAAAAAAGGGAAAAAGAAATAATCTCTGACCCTTGAACTGGTTGGGGAGAAAGAAACTCCTTTGAGCACATATTTTGGGGTGCTAAGCTATATATGGAAACTTTAAATTGGGGAACTTGAAGCAGTCTGGAATGAATACAATTTCTGCACAGGTTATATTCCTTTTTTAAAATAATAAATATTTCTGAAGATCTCCATACATGGCAGCATGTTAAGGCTTCTGATCCTCGATTTTGCTTCAAAGTTCTCCATGCCTGAATTAAGATATCAGGACTAGTTTGGAAAACTGCAAACCTCAGCTTTCCACAACTCAGTCCAAGATAATATTTGTGGTATTTCCTAATTTTAGGGACATTGTCCTAGGAATGCTAAGGGCCCGTGCACTGGAGGCCTTCCTTTAGGGCTTTTAACATTTGATGGATATTGGTATGGTTCTGGGGCTATTCTACTGTTATCCCTCAATCTGTATCTAGTCTGGTGATGCTGTCAGATAAGGGAATTAGACTAGATCGTTTCCAAGGCCACTTCCAGTTCTGAATTGCCATTCACTAGCATGATACAGTGGAAAGAGCAGTGGATTTTGGAAGCAAAGCATCTGTGCTCAAATCCCCGTGCTTGGGGTAGGCTGGAGCCAGCTCTAATGTTAAATGCTTGGGGTGAGCACTTTATACCTCAGAAATGGAGAAAAGGGTAATTGCTGAAAAATCAGGGCTTGATTTATCGTTTTGTTGGTTGTCTAGATTTAAGGGCTAATAATGCTCTGTGTGTATGTATGTGTGTGTGTGAGCATAAATGCTCTCTCACCTTGCCCCACTCCTGTCCCTCAGCTGGTTGTTAAACATTTACCAGCACACACCTATCTGTGCTGCTTCTTACTATCTATGGGACTCCGGGAAAATTCCTTATATTTTTTGGGTTTCAGTTTCCTCATTTTTCAAAGGAGGTTACTGGACTAGGTTATCTCTAACATCCCTTCCAATTATCCAACTGTGGTCCTTAATTCTTTTTTTTTCTTTTTCTTTTTCTTTTTTTTTTTGAGGCAATGGGGTTAAGTGACTTGCTAGTGAGTGTTATGTGTCTGAGACGGGATTTGAACTCAGGTCCTCCTGACTCCAAGGCCGGAGCTCTATCCACTGTGCTGCCTAGCTGCCCCTGTGATCCTTAATTGTATGATCTGAATTAAATCAGTAAATGGCTCTGCTACCCCTCTGACAACACTTGGGCATAAATTCTCTTTTGTGACACTTTACCATTCACTGTTTGTCCACCAACTGAATTGACTCGTGAGAGTAGAGGCCAAGGTTTTTTTCACTGAACATGGATCTAAGTTGAGGAATGAGGGTGGAAAGGAGTATGGCTTGGTGGGTCAAGGAGTCAAGAACCCATAGTCATATTGATTCAACATCTCCCATTCTGAGACTCAGCTGCTTCCCCCTCCAAGGAAAGTGTACTGTTGTCTTCAGTGGGACAAAGAGCAAATTAGTGTAACTCCTCCCAAATGCCGGCTTCTATTTTTTGTTGTTTGGTCGTTTCAGTTGTATCTGACTCTTCATGTCCCCATTTGGGGTTTTCTTGCCAAAGATACTGGAGTGGTTTGCCATTTCCTCCT